TGACGAAAAAACACGACTTGTAAACAATGGAATCTAGCCATAGCTTTCAACAATATATCAGCACGAACGTTGCTATTTAACGATTTCACCCTTTATAGCTTGTTTTGTTTATTTTACAGCGGTCAATGAAAGCGAAATATTCAACTATAGGTAAACGAAAATTCCCTTTAATGTCATCTGTGCAAAAAGAGAGGGTGTGAGGAAGTAAAAGATAAAGCGAAAGGGTGTGTGTGTGTTAAAGAGAGAGAGAGAGAGAGAGAGAGAGAGTGAGAGAGAGAGAGAGAGAGAGAGAGAGTGAGAGAGAGTGTGTGAGTGTGACAGAGAAAGTAGTGTTTGTCGACATTTGTCCACACTTCTGATATTTATATGGATATACGTGTACTTTGGTTAGCATTGTTTTACATTAATTGATTAGTTCAAATTGCCCAGAAATTAATTAATGATTCTGTCTCGCTTGGTGAATGAAAACGTTTAAAGTATCATTCCCACCTAAAACAAGGAAATACACCCCAATACGCTAATGGTGCTGGGCTGCATTAATTAATTTTTTATAACTGTGTTTAACATGTTAATTTTTTTTCTTTTTTTGATGCTTCAGGCTCGTAATTTATATGATGTCTAATGACAGTTTAATAAAAGGGAAGGAACCGGTTATTTTATTATAAAAGCTGAGTGACTCGATTCACCCCTGATAACATCTCTTTAATTTTTGTGAACATTCTCATCGCATATTTTACTACCTAGTACCTAGATTTATAAATGTAGGATTTCAAGTTGTTAAATAGACAAATTGGCTTGGTTTCTGAGTGCCCGTTTTATTTATTAAAATCTTTAGAATCGCAGAAATGCGATGTTCTTTTTTAAAACATTTTACCAACACCACTGAAGAAAATTGGGCATTTAGAGCGTTAAACTTTAAGTTCCTGTGAGTCGCTCCATCAAAAATTATAGCCCAAAACTGTTAGGAAGATATTAATGTTTGTCCAACCCGGAGTTGGCCCGACCGCTATAAATCCGTGATCCCTTGGCGCTATTTCCCAGTTGGTAACTGTTGGAAGACAAGTATTCCCGTATCGCCAACCCCAAAGGTGTCCTCCTTCTTAACAGATTAGCCCCAACAATAAATCCATCAAACCAACTTAAACTTCCCAACCCTCGCCAAACTAACTTTCGAGCCACAGGAAAAAAAAGTAGATCCCCTCTCGCCTTTTCCTTTTCTTCCCCTTTTTAAAGAGATTCAATTTAGACTTTAATAGCTTCGATATAATGGCTGCACTCTCTAAATTAGAATTTCATAAAAGGTCGTTGCGGTGGTTTACAACTTTTGGCTAAGCTCAGTAGCTCGACACGATTTGTTTTTTTAAAATTATTTCTATTCAGCCTCATACTTCATAATAAAAAGTTTAATTATACCGTTTTGATAATGTATAATACATTTCCTCGTAACAAAACATTTAATAAAACGCAATATTTTAAAAGCTATTTTGATTTTATAAATAATTATTTTTTGAGTGTAATTGCTGTACAAAATATACACTTTTATAACGTCAGAAAGCTCACAAAAACTCGTCTTTAAAGAAATTAAAACATCTTGTTTGTAATACAGTAATTACTAATTTAATAGTCATTTTTCATATTTTAGTGAGCTGGTAAGGTAACATTTTGTTTATTCGATGTAAAAATAGGTATTAGTATTGTATGTTCCTGTGTCCTAATTCTGTGTCGACAGCTAAAAATAATATTGCATTTATGCAAAATACTTTTTTTTAATACGTGCCATGCACAAACCAGTTTCCGTTCATGTGGATATTATTGAGTCAATAACTCGGGGTTTTGCCAATGTTTAACAGAAACTGTATAAGCAATTTTAAGTATACGTGTTTATTTATTATTCTTAGCTTGTTGCCTGTAGGTTTGTCAACTACTGATAAATCACTGACGATGAGGGATTTTGTCGTGATTCAAAAACAAGTTCCAAACGGAAATTTATCATTCGTCATCATTCGTTTTTAGTCTGGCAAGTAATTTATCGATGTTTGAGGTTTCGAATTAACCAATTGAAAGAAATGTTAATACCGCGTATTATTTTTTCCTTTTGTATTTTTGTCGAAAACATTTGAATTGTATATTTTTTCAATACATTCACATAGTTGTGACTTCAACTACTACAAAATTTTATAAATTCGTTGATAAAATACCAGATTTCATTTTAAAACTATTCAGTGATATAATGTTTGATCACGTAAAATTTTTGTCCTATTTTCAAAAACTGTTCAAACATAAGTCAGAAATTACGAATTTTTGAACATGTGATTTGAGATTAAGAAAAGTCAATGTCACGGATGGGATTCGAACCCACGGACTTGGAAACTGTACCTTGACGCTCTAAACCTCCTAAGCCTAACCTCTCTACGTCAGAAACGTTTTAAATAGAGAGTCTTTAAAAATGTCTTACTTTCCTTGAGTTGTTTGTTTCAGTTTCGTGCAAATATGAATCTTCTGTTAATACAATTACACTTGTTTAAATTATAAACCTGATTATCTGTCGTATTTTACGATTTGTAATAGTAATAAAATTAAAAAATGCAAAAATAAACGATTATTAACTACAATCCATAGTTAATGCCGACCATATCTGGTTTACAGCTGGCTCCAAAACCGAATATGGGTCAGGAGCTGGCATTCACGGAAATAAACCACAGACTCGAATTCATATAAACCTTGGACAATATACCACCGTTTTTCAAGCGGAAACTGTAGCTACTGAACACTGTGCCATGAAGATACAAAGGTTGACTATTGTGGTAGTAGAAGAATAGCCATCTACAGGAACAGCCTGATGGCACTGAAGTCCATTGCTGCATCGACGGTAAAGTCCAAAGTCATTTGCATTAGTGCTCTGTCAGACATCCTTGTCCGGGTGCAGGGAACACGAAAGTTCAATGACGCCTATTGATCCTGAACCGTTTTGTGACTAACAAAACTGCCAAAAACGTGGATACATTATGCAGTGGATTAATAATAAGTCCTTGCCCAATGGGAATGTAGCCCAGGACGGAGGCATGCGAAAAACATTTATCAAAGGACCATCGTAGAAACTAACAGCAGAACTACTAAATCTAAAACGTGCTGCTAGGACTAGAATAATAGTTGGACTGTTAACTGGACACTACTGACTCGGAGGCATATGTATAGGGGAAGCTTGGGTGTATTCAATGATCACCCCATTTGTAGGTTATGCAAGAAGTAGGAAATGTCACCCATATCATCGTCGAATGTGAAGTAACCCCTCGGCAAAACAGACAATGGCCTTTTCTATAAGTTAAGAAGGAAGTATCAAACGAAATTCGAAAAGTACAATAAGCCACAATTCAAGTGTGCGTGGGTAATACTACACCATTCCTTTCGAGTATCATCGTGATCTTTGTAACTCAATAGTGACACTGATAAGTTATTGAAGATGTTATTTTTCAATTTGGATAGATTAAATAGATTGACGATCATATTTTTATAAATTGCTCAAGGAACGTTCAGGACACCTATCAGCCCTGAAACCTTTAGTGGCATACCTAATTGACAAAAATGTAATGGCTAAGAACAAATCCTTTGTTTATTGGGAATATATTCCATTCAACAGGCAAGCAAAGGAGTTTATAAAAGACGGGGGCATATCTGCAGAATACGATTGGCAGAAATAAGCCTGTGCAGATATTGCAAAGAAGAAGAAAAAACAGCGGAAAACGTCGTCTGTTGTGCGAAGGCCTACGGAGGCTGAGAGTCCTAATCCTGGGAGAGGAAAAGCCAGGGCCTGAAGGATACACATGGGAGGCCATGAAAAAGCTTTGGAGTCTGGTAAAAAGCCTCAAGCTTAACGAGGAGCTCTAGCTTTAAAAGAAAAATTGGAGACGCACAATAGACCAACACTGGTCGCGGTGCAAAGGTCGTAGAGAGACCAGCTCCTATATAATCTATATGTCTATATTCTAACTATAATCCCATTTTTGTATAGTAAACGTTCGAAATATGATGATCTTCCATAACTTTAGTACGTCTTGTTACACTGCTAAATTTCGACACTAAAACCATACGTATGCAAGTTTTTCCTTTTTGTTGTAAATTTTGAAGAAAATATAGCTCAAAAATTGTTAATTAGACAAAATTTTTCAAAATAATTTAAAAAAGTAAAACCGAAGTAATAATATAAGTTCGAGTGGATTTTTAGCTTTTGTAATGAAGGTAATTTGTGAAATAATATTTTTTTGAAATAAATTAATAGCATTGATATAAATAATTTTTAGTGTCAATAATGGAAATGAACCAATTTCAGATATTTTTACAAGTTTTATTACGATTTCAGTTTTGAAAACATTTTTATACCGGCTTCCAGCTGATTGCAAAAAATAGGTTACTTTTGTTTTTGATTGTTTTACTTTAGAGTTTCTTTCTAAACATAAAAATCATTCAGATAGATAAACACATAAAGAGGATCGGCTTTACCTTAGGGGACACAAGATTAAATTGAATCGTTATGCCGAATGATAAACTGTTACCCCGGTGCAAAAATAATTGGATAGATTTAAGAGGATAGAGCAGGCTCATTACGTCTTGACTCAATTCCACCTATATGGTAATGCGTGCCGTTGAAAATTAATGGTATGGGAACTGTTACTCTAAGGTTGAACAGAAACGCCTGTTCGTGATTTCACAGTTTGTAAGATTAAATGAGGAAAATGTACGATATTTAATGGTTTTAAACGAAGAGGTCGCAGCGTGAACGGAGTGCGACAAGCGGTTTCCTGGATTATGATCAGCAGCATATGTTTGCGCTCATTAAACGAATAGAACATGCTTCTCAATTGTGCCAAGCGTGTTTACAGATAGTTACAAAGAAATTCTCACCACAGAACCCGAGCTTGAATATTATGGCACAGGGGCTCTTTTAAATTTTGATAAACGTTCTGCTTCACGGAATAAAATTGCAATAATTATACAGTACGTACCTTAGACTTCTTTGAAATTTCCAATTCCAGCAACTGAATTTATGTAACTTTAAATGTGTTGTTGTGTAGATTGAGTTATGTTTTGGAGTATTTCACAAACTTAGACAAAAAGACTTCATATTTTCATATGGTTTGAATGTAACAGCCGAAAAACTAACCTTCTGTGTTTTGCCTACACTGTTGTTTTGAAAAATTCACATAAATAACGTACTGGCTCTTTTTCTTTCAGACCGGCTGTTGAAGAGAGGGGTCGCCATTAACAAAAATAAGTGAATTTAAACTAAAAATTCAAATTGCAAACCTTTAGGAATTACATAAACTAACAGCGATTATAATTTTCCGATTCAAAGAACCTTAAGAGGAAACGAATCCATCCCTCCAAATAATAAAGAGTAGAAATTTCTTTCATGTTCCCATGTGCCATATTAATGTAGCAGTCAGCAGTCCATGTTCTTAGTTTAGTCCATGTAACCTTTTCATTATTGAGGCAACATTTTTAATGAGTTATATCAGACAATATATAATGGTTTTGACAGCTTGAGCTACTTCACGGCGTGACATCTCTCATCTCATATACAATAAACTAAAAAAAATATGGCATTAATCAACGTAAACAAATTTCTCATTTATAATCAATATAACAACATAACTAATATACATTTTTTCTCTACTATTATATAAAATTTTGCAAGGGAAAGGGATATAGATAGATCGAGATAGATAGAGATGGGGAGAAAGAGTGTGTGGGAGAAAGGAGAAATTGAGAAAAATATTGAAGAGATTAGATAGAGAGACAGATATATAGATGGAGAAAGAGAGAGAGAGAAGTTCAAAAAGTAGGGATGTGAGTGAGAGAGAAAAAGATAGATGGATAGTGAAGTTATTGTGGGTGAGAAAGAAAGAGAGAGGGTGAAATGGAAAGAGAAAGAGATATTTTGAGATAAAAGTTAACTAGAACTGTTTCATAGCATTACAGTCATAAATAAATGATCATATACTAATTGGCAATATCGAACTATATAGTGAATTTAGTGAATTGGTATTTTTCAAGAAAATTATGTACTCCAATACTATGTTCCAATTGATATGTGTGAGATAGTATTGTACAATTGTTTCCAAGCTTGTAACTGTATTTATACAGTCACCATCAGGACCTGTTGGTTCACAAAAATTCAAATATGACGATATCGTCTATGTGAATCGATACACTTCAGCATTAGAACAATGACAACTTGCAAAAACGGATTGTTGAAGAACGAAAGATCTATTCCTACAAAATAATGTAAAAAGGGGATGATTTTATCAATCTTGATAATATTTTACACTCGAATTTAAATAAGCGTTGTTGTGTTTGTGTACAAGAAAAATAATACTAAAAACTTTAACCGAAACCTTTTGTAATTAAAATCTTAAAAATTATTTTAAAAGTTGTATTTATTAATGTAAAAAAAGTGATCAACAATCCTTTGTTTTTATCCGATATTTTTGTGCTGATTGTACCTACACTGTAAAAATATCTTTAATTTGTTATCTGTGATAGAAAAAACATCATTGAATTTACATTACCTTAAAATCATAAAACACATTGTATTCGTTTGTGTATGATCAATTTTCAACTTCAAGTCGTAAGTTTTATAGCTCCATTTCTTGCTCTCTCTCTCTTTCTCTCTCTCTCTCTCTCTCTCTCTCTCTCTCTCTCTCTCTCTCTCCCTCATATTCTATTTATATATTTATTTACTATATCTTTATTGAACCAGAACACAATTTGAAGCATGTTAGTTGCTCGGTGTTAGTGATTTATCGAAAATTGTATAATTAAGTAACGTTCAAACTCCCTGTTGATTAATTTAAAAAAGACGCACCTTTTTTCCAAACGGTCTTCAATCCTATTCCTTAAAACCTAGTTGATTTTCCTGAGAAAGACTGAATCTCCTGAAGTAGTGAGAACTTTTTTATAGAGACCCTTTTTCTTGAGTGGTTTCGGATGGTTGTTTAGTCGATACCAAATAATAAAAGGGGCCTCGGAGGGAAGGAAGCTATTTTTATTATGGGGGTCCCTACGTTTTATCCATGAGGGGGTTTGAATATGGGGTACTAGAGCAAACGGATATAAACCCCCCGAAGCCTAGTTTCCGTCCCCAGATGCCTCAACCTGCAGTCCGAGGGTAGTAATGGCACCAAATAAAAAAACCAAAGGAATAAATTTATTAGAAGTATTCCGCTAATAATAGTAGTCGGTTGTTGTACTATTTAATTTTAAATATTCTAAATTTTAATTAAGCAGTTTTAAATACCATGATTTGGTGATCACGGAAGTAATTAGCGGTATTTTTTATTACTTCTACATTTTCATAAATTCAGCAGAATAATATTTTACAACAAGGGACCAAATAACACGAATCCAGTGGACTTTAACAATAAACAATAATGGCTTCCAAAATAAATTAATTTGAAGAGAAACACAATAAATAAACGAAATCCATTAAAAAAAACCTTGACCCAAAGTAGGAACAAAAATCACTCGCATATACAAATGATTAAGGATTCAAACTGTAGAAATAAACCTACAAGTAGAATTAGTATCGTGTTCAATAATTCAAAAATCACAATAAATAAACGAAATCCATTTTTAAAAAAACCCTTGACCCAAAGTAAGAACAAAAATCACTCGCATATACAAATGATTAAGGATTCAAACTGTAGAAATAAACGTACAAGTAGAATTAGTATCGTGTTCAATAATTCAAAAATCAACTGGGAAAAAATTAAGAGTTGTGTTTAGTAATATCATTATGAAGTTCTCAAAAGTTGGGGAAGTTTACTTTAATACATTTGATTATTCTTAGGTTATTTCTATCGTACAATAAAATGTAAAACTTCTAAAACAATGTAAGTTTAAGGCACAAAACAATGTGTTGTAGCACGTTTGGATAAGGAAACGGAGAAAATAATGGTTATGTTGTTGATATCAAGTAAATTGCAGTTATTTTCTACTGAGAACAGTTTCTAAGCGGCTATGCATTTAACACAATTAAAAACTTAAAAGTTGTAAGATTCCATACGCTCTTTATATCCTTTCTAACCTCTAAAACATACACTCACGCACATAAAAAGACACTCGGACGCATACAAGTACATACACTTTTCAAACGTAAAATTACTGCGATTTGTCTGTACGACGCACTTTCTTGCTCTCACTCTCTCTCTCTCTCTCTCTCTCTCTCTCTCCGTTCCCTCTTAGTTTTTTATCAGTTGTTTTCATTAATAAGAAAGAATGAAGAGAGATGAGAAAGAAACATTTAAGAAATGAACTGTAATGGAGATGTAAAAACATGTAAATGATTTTCAGATCCATTAACATGATTTGGCAATTTTTATCTATATAGAAAAATTTTCAAGATAAACGACGACTGTATAAGATGAACTAACTATTGTCGTTCTAATCGTTTGAAACATGATTGCCTCTTTAACAACTTTTAGATTGAGAAACTAGCATCAAAAGTCGTGTAAGGATTTTTTTGGTGATGAAAGTAGCGACCCTCAGTATTTTGGAATCGGTTTCCTTGCAGTAATTCCACCCCAGAGGGTGATAGCGTTTAATATCTGCTGAGACCTGGTTGAAGTGTGGGGGTCAAAGTCGGATTCCTGAGTGACAAGTGGAGTGCCCGCATCTTCAGACTGTCTCCGTCTAAGCCTGATAGACAGCCACCCTTCTGCAATTTACCGACCAATTTCACACGTCCGAAAGCAACCACCTTAGCAACGTTTCAAAACAATTAACCATAGACCGGTCCACCCCTAACCCGATTTAAACTTAGTTCTCTAATTAGGACCACCGTGGAATTACTACGAAATAACAGTCTGCGTAATTGCCTCCGGGGAGTGAGATTTTAAATCTAATTTAACCAAAGGAGAATCCGCCGTTGGAATTATGAGAGTCCTATAATGCATACCCTCCGGTGGGAAATTACAGTAACACGGTGGGTTAGTAAATCTTTTGCCCAAAACAACAAATTGAACCATTTAAATCATTACAAAATGAAATAGTAAAGATTTTTCTAACTCTACATCTTCGTAAATTAAACTTTTCAAAATTTATCCTCTTCGTGTAAAAACATTAAATCATAGATATGTAACCTAACTTGCCCCTCCTAACACTATAACTTCACATAAACTTAGCCAAACCCGTTCTAAGCCCTATAACCCTATCCTGACATAACCTTTCTCTTATCCTAACCGCTCCCTACCCTTTCTTAAAACTTAGAATGACATATCACATCTAATCAAATCATTTTCACTAAAGTGAAAACACTATATTTTTTAAAAATATTTTGAAGCAACATAACTTTCATAAATAAAATAAATAATCATCATAAATAATCATTATTATTATTCTAGATTAATTGGATGTTTTTTTATATTTATTCAGATATCGTGAGATGCGTTCGGGTGTGATGTAGGTTTCAGAAAACATTTTCTTTATCGTGCCAACGTTTCGATCTTTTATTGAGATCATCTTCAGGGCTCAAAGTGTTTGTCTTCTGTGTAATTGTGCCATCCTTGCGTGTCGTGTTGAGAGTGCCGGGGCAGAAGGCAAATAGACATAACAAGTCATAAACAATGAATTGGTCACATCACAAGTACATTATTACAGACGACATAATTAATTGAGAAAAATATAGTAAAATCGTAATTATCATTTTCGAATTCAAATTTCCACTAAAAACGATTCTTTTGTTAGCCCAATCTGTCATCATCCCCTTCTTCATAAATAATAAGCACATGTAATCTTTGTTTGATTTAAATAATTTAAAGTTCATACAAAAGCCACATAAGTGATACATATTTTCTAATATTTTCGATGCTAATCGCCTACCAACAAAAAATTACAGGTATGATCGAATTTTGGGATTTCTGAAATGTATATATTTTTTTAATTGCTCCGTCCTTAACTTAATCTCGTTTAACAAATACATGGGATGATGCAATTTTTAAAACTTGCTCTTCGATTTTGGTTGAACTTTCCATTTTTGTACACCTCGCGACTATCAGTCCACCTGGTTGACGTCTAAATTAATTGCGTTCTTACCGCCTGACCATCGGATTCTCAGCTGTCTTATTTTGCGGAAATATTACGAAAAGATACGGTTAATTGAAATAAATTAAAACGTAATTGACATCAAAGAGATCTAACAAGCAAACTCGCGTTTACCAAAAGTGTTAAATATC